GTGTAAAATTAATCAATCGAGGGGCAGCAGTCCTACATTTTTCTGATCTTTTGAACATGCATGATGAACAATGAATGTTACAGTTTCAACAATAAATATTATTTTGAAAAAATAAAGAATTAGTTAGAATCAAATGTTATTGTAGCATCAGTAGCATCGCATACATCGGCGAATTATTTGACAATAATTCCCAAGATGAATAGAAAGAGTTCAGTCGAGGGTCAAGCGAGTCGTAACGACGAGCGTTATCTTGTTATATTAGGTTACTTAATTATTTGATTTAAAGTTTATTGTGTAAAACACAAAAAAGTGTTAATCAATTTTTTGAATTATCCCTCCTGATACACCGGAAGATCGAGTTACAATTGCATTGCCCTTGTATACAATTTTTCCATCATCGTCATCCGATATATCAACTCTCATGGTCTGCTCGCAATTAATTTCAGCGTAACAGTCATCATGAATAGTTACATTAGCTACTTTTGTTAGTAAATCAAGACCTTGAAATTTACTACTACCAGCAACTGTTATTGTAATAGTGTCAGCTCTACCCATTAAATGCACATTGGCAAAACCACGAATATTAGCAATAAGCTGTTTAACATGTATGGTGCCATAAATTGAATTAAAACCACTACATTCAAGGTCGAATACATCAGCATTGATACCAGCACCAGATACTTCAACCGATTCCATTCCATTCATTTTTAAGCTGCTTAAGCGATGAGCATTTATATGCACATCCGTTTTGCCTCTAAAACGTCGCTCACTTGTCGAGCGTGTATGTGTAGAAGTTGATGCATATTTATGATATGTCTTACTTGATGATGAACTATTACCAGGCACTTGAATGCGTAGAATACCCAAGGATACAGATGTTTCAATTTTTTCAAATAATTTAGGTTGATCACTCACAAGCATAACACTTTCTGGCTTTGTTGTATTCATAGTTATAATAATGTTGAATATACCGCTTGTTGCAATACCATGGAAACTGGACACCTGGCGTATTTGAGATGTTTGATCATTGGAAACACTATTCACTGGATCAGTTGATGCAGATGGTACATATGAAGCTTCTAAAATCATCAAAAATAAAAATGAATCTTTTTCATATACTCACGAGGGAACATATTTGAGTGTCTTTCAGAGAACAAGTTTAAAACCATTCTATTCGATGGAGATATTTACGAATATCTCAAGTATCAATATCGTACCTGCCCTCGTTTAGGTGTGAAAGAATGAGAGAATCAAAGGTTTCCATTTTTATGTTCTTCCCTGCTTATGTAGCTGTATCATTTTTTCACTTGTATAAGATTTGCAAGAATGATCAATTTTTTTCATAGACGAGATGTGAAAAATGGGCAGAATCCGACATGAAAGAAACATTTATCAATCACAAAGAATGGCGTTATTTGTATGTTTTGCAACATTTTCTGTTGTTCTTAATACTACATAGTCACCAGAAACATTTCGAGTGCTCACTGTTATAAACACCCACATCTTCCTGCATTGAACAATGTGATTCGTAAACGACAATATACGGTCGAAAAAAGATATCATTATGGAACTTTGCATAGCGACTGTAAACGAGCGTCCGTTTACGGCATATCTTATATATAGTGGAAGTCGTCTTACGTAGTACTATACGAACATAATACGAATCGTAATACTGTATAAATTTCACACAGTGAAATAGATGACCCAGAAACAATGCAAAAAATGATAGCTTTTGATGGTGCAATCAATTGGTTTCACTCAGAATTAGTAAAATATCAACGTATCAGCTTTTGTTCTGTTTTTATTATAAAATGAAAACGTGGTCTATTCTACCAGTTAACACATACGAATAATTATCCTTGATACGTGACTAGAAAGCATACATGTGATACTGTTATTCGTGAAAAATAAAGCTCTCGTTCATGAAGGATCCTGCTCATTTTTGGCATCTCTTCTACGAAAAAACTTGATCATTCTTGCAAACCTTATACAAGTGAAAAAATGATACAGCTACATAAGCAGGGAAGACCATAAAAATGGAAACCTTTGATTCTCTCATTCTTTCGCGCCTGAACGAGGACAGCTACGATATTGATACTTGAGATATTCATAAAGATCTCTATCGAATAGAATGGTTTCAAACTTGTTCTCACGCGGACACTCAAATATGTTCCCTGGTCAGTGGATCTAAAATAAATTTCTAGATCCTTGATGACTTTTTAACAATTTATCCTACGTTTCACTTTAGGATTTGTCTTTTCTTTGATTGCACTTGTAACATTTGCGGAAGCCCTCGAATGAACTAAAACATTTCGCTTGTCAGCTTGCTTGGTGAGTGGCGTCAGGGAGTCGAATAAATCTTCATGATGATTATCTGTTCCATCGGATGGCTATAAAGATAAAAATGAGTCGCATGAATCGTATGGCAATACAGTTAAATTTACTTCAATTTGAATAGAAGGTAGACAACGTTGAATACGTGTTGATGATTCTACTGTAGGCGGTGAGTCATGAATCGTTGGACTTCGAATACACGTATTCTATTTTACACGCAATTAAAGACAGAATATGCCATTTATTTTCTTTTCTTTTAACAAACCTCGTGTTGGTTGAGTTCTGTCAAAAGGCACATCTGTCCACAATATATGCAGTTGGCTTTGACCGCACTAAGCAAAAAAACAATCAGTATATTTATTTACTAAAGTTGTCTTTTACCTGGATGGTCGTACAAATGTTTCAGGACTAATCGTCGGTATGGATGATGTTGAATTCGATTTGCGTGGAATGGGTGGTAAAACAGAAGGTGTTGGTGGCGGAGTTACAGGTGGTAGATCAGTAATTGTAGTTGAAATAGTTGTATTATTAGTGCGTCTGTGAAGGTATGAAGACGATTTTGTTGTATTATGCGAGTAGGTCTGATGGATGTGGTGAGTAGGTCTATTAGATCGGGTGAGTAGCGTTGGAGTTAAAGATGAAACATTTGTTGCTAGTACTTCTGTACTGGGATCATTCTAATTTTTCAAATTAAAAACTGTAATGATTTTTGCCAGAACGTCATCATCCTACCGTGAAATCGGTCAAATTGTCTCGTAAATCATAAAAAGTCGGTCTTTCAGCTGGTGTCTGTGATAGACACATGCAAATTGTTGTCCAAAGGTCATGTGGACATTTTGTCGGACACGACGGTCGATTGCCAGCCAAAACTTGCGTACGAACAGCATCATCATTGGCAATATGAGACCAATGGATTGTACCTTTATTATATGCCTCGATCATGAGCATACCCATCGAATACATGTCGGATTTTTCGGTATAGGATATTTGACAATTGTTTTCAAGAATTTCAGGCGCCACTGTACGCGTTGGAACGATCTATTGTGGACGATTAACAAAAGCAATTATTATCTTTAGTTAGATGATTGCTCACATGAATTGTAGTTGTTGAAATAACACCAGCAGCAGATGAGTAGATTGAACTAAATCGACTTAACCCAAAATCAGTTAGCTTCACATAATTACGTTTGGCTTCATTTGGATCAAAACGAAATACGAGCACATTCCGACATGCCAGATCTCCATGTACAATTTGGTTGAGAGCTAGAAGAAAATAATGCAATATAATTGAATTTTGCGAAACTCACGTATATTTTCGAAGAAAATAGTGAGTGTAAGTTTTCATTTCGAGGTTTTGCGGCTCCCCCCTCCCCTCTCCCCTTCCCATTACAGACACATAGTAACGGGAAAGAGAACATTACAGGTATACCCCCCATTACAGACCTCAGTAACCGCGCATAGAAGGCTTTAGATTCTATATAATATATCCGTGCTTTCATGAATACTCGGGAAAAAGCTATTTCGAAGTCTAAAAGTTAGGCATCAGGATAACAAGTTTCAAAGATATACGTGAGTTTCACATTTTAGCTCCTTTGGAGTTGCGCTAACAAGCTTGTTTTCATCATCTTACTAAGAAAGGTCATAGCGTCGCTAATTTGAATAAATATTTCCTTAAGGATTTTATCATTTGGCAATTCTTGCTGATAAGCCAATAATTCATAAAGACTTCCTTCAGATGCATATTCTTGTAATAACATAACTGATGTAGTACTTGGTACAACATCTTCAACAAGTCCATATGTTCGTACAATATGTGAATGCCGACTGAGTTTAACATAAAATGAAGCTTCTTTTTGAGCACGCGCTCCTTCAATTTGTAGTATGATGACTGGAGGTCGTTGTTCTTGTGTAATCCAGTCAGCTTTATAGATTCTTTTACCAAAAGATTGAAAAAGTGCTCGTTTATCACGTCTAACATCAATACCCATTTTAAATTTATAGTCTTTACTTTGAATATTGTTTTCGAAATCAGCTACCACTTTCTTAATAGCATAATTAGGACGCAAACCCGAAATACTCAACGGCTGTCGTGTAATAGGGCTTTTTCCATTCAAACGAATCCACTCCATAATAGCTGTTCGTTCATATGTATGACCATCTTCAGCCATGACAGGGTCGTGAAATAATTGTAAACTGATTGGACATAATAGTGCTGTTTCTAATGAACTCGTCATTGTTTTCAAAACATTCACGTAACGATTTCTTCGCTCAAAACTTCGGTTGTTATTATTTAGCTCCTTTATTTCTTTTCACACACTGCACCTAAAACTGGTACAAGTTGCAATTGAGTCTTTTCCAAGTAAGCAAATAATATTACTGGTTATCTTTCGACATAAAATGTAATGCGCCATTGAAACGAACACCCAGGTGGAGCAAGTGTGCTCGTAAACAAACGTATCTATAGATAAAAGCACGTCATAAAAAAATCAGTGTTCGATAAGAGCATATCACTGTAAAAAAAATTCGTAGAATAATAAACCCTATGAAAAGGGTTTATTAAATTCCTTAACCATTCACCGTATATTGATAAACCCTTTTATCGTTTATTATCAATTTCCTAAACCCTTTAAGGGTTTATGGGGCTTCCTAAACCCTTAAAAAGGGTTTATTATACGTTACACTTTCCTAAACCCCTAAGGGTTTATTAGATCTCCTAAACCCTTTTTTCACTCATAAACCCTTAGGGGTTTAGCAAAGTGTAACGTATAATAAACCCTTTTTAAGGGTTTAGGAAGCCTCATAAACCCTTAAAGGGTTTAGGAAATTGATAATAAACGATAAAAGGGTTTATCAATATACGGTGAAGGGTTTAGGAATTTAATAAACCCTTTTCATAGGGTTTATTATTCTACGAATTTTTTTTACAGTGTACGCATGAATACTGTAACAAACTGAAGGGTGTGAGTGTGGGTGCCGATGTGGGTTGAATCTTCGCTAACAACCACATCAGCACCGACATTGACACTCTCACCCATCCACACTCGCCCTCAACATCCTCTGAAATTGTC